AAAAAAAAAAGGAATAATAATAATAATAATAATAACCAAATCTCCTTCACACTCAATCCACCCACCCACCCACATCTCAAAGAAAGAACAAGAAACAACAGCAGCGACAACAAAGAAATAAAATAAGTAACAACAACAAAAAAAAAAAAAAAAAGGAATACTAACAAATACAGTCAGGTACATGGGCAGACTTATTACCTATGGCACATTTAAAACGGACCAACAACGATTTAAAATATCACTGAAGGTAAAACCCAATGTAAACGTGCACATCTCCTTAAATGGACGGTGTCTTGGCAAAACGCTGCGCTCGTCGCTGCAGTTTCGCTACAGCTTCTAAAAGTTGATCGTGTTTACGAATATCTTCCTCAAGACGATTTCGTTTTGCCTGATCACCGTCAATAGAGATTCCACGTCCCGCCATAGAAGCAGAAGGAGAAGCCATAGGAAAAACAAAAGAGGTAGAGGGTGGATGTAATTCCTCCGGCTGCCTACATGAAGGCACAGAAGATGTTCGATGACGGCTGCCTCTCCCGTGCACCTGATTCACCATGTAATACACGTGGTCCTGCAGACTCTTCTGATCAAAATGCCCCGGTGAAAAGGATGAAAGCGAACTCGTTGACTTTTCTTGAAAATGAGATTTTGGCAGATCTTCTATATTTCTATCAAAAGTGACCAAAACTTTCTTTCTTGCATCCGGCGTCAGTTTTGGCTCCCCCGTAAAGTGCAACAGACCCGGATTTGCGTTGTTGTTTTGAATGCCAAACTCCACTAACGTCCCTACGGACTTTTGACTACATGTCTCTGTCTGAGAGGCTGCAGCTGCTGTGGATGGTCCCACCTGGACAGCAACAGAGTGCCTGCTCATTCTAGCAAAAGGCCGCTGAAAGTTATTCTGAATTCCATGAGACTCAAACGTATTTACATCTTCTCTCTTTTGTTTTCGCCAATGCTGCAAATAAGAATGCTCCACATCATTCTTCTTTCTCTCCAGAGCGTTGCCATAACGAGTGCTATTTAAGGCATTTGCACCCTGCGGAAAGGCATCAGCGTCTATCATGGAAGCAAGTGCACTCTCTGGACACACGAAGGAGCGATCTGTCTGGTTCAAGCCATCCGGAGGAGATGAGAAATTTCCGCCATCACAAGTATCGCCGAGTGTTGGCGCCACTTCTGATGCCACTACATGATTCGGCATGTGTGCCGGCTCTCCTACAAAACGCAAAAAACGCTGTCGCCACACTAATACCTCTTCTTCAAGGGACTTCGTCTTTTCCTCTAGTGACATCCGACTCCTTGACTCAATCTCCAGTTGTCGTTGCAGAGAATCTCGCTCATGGCGATGTCGCAGCTCATCATGCTCCTCGTGAATCTGATAGACAAGATGTTGTACCTCCGCTAGCTGTAAATCACGCTCCCTAAGCGCCTTTTCGTGAGTCCTTTTCAGCTTGGCGTACTTCTTCCTCCAATAAGAATCCCCAAGAGAGGAATGGCGGTTCTCTAAATTTTCCACGCCCTTTACAGACGGTTCGTCAGCCGCTTTCAAAAAAGAGGACGG